GGCTGGCTAACTGCTCTTTTGTAGGCCTCAGCCTAGACCAGCATCTTCCAATAGAACTTCCTACCATGATGGAAATATGCTGTGATATGCATGCAGCCACTGAGCTCTAGAAATGGAGTGATAGGAACTGAGTTTTTAATATTATTCAATTTCAGGCCAGGTGCGGTGGCTCACCCCTGTAATCCCAGCACTTGGGAAGGCTGAGGTGGACAGATCACCTGAGGTCAGAAGTTTAAGACCAGCTTGGTCAACATGGTGAAACCCCATTTGTACTAAAAATACAAAAATTAGCCGGGTACAGTGGCAGGTATCTCTAGTCTCAGCTACTCAAGAAGCTGAGACAGAAGAATCACTTGAACCCAGGAGGTGGAGGTTGCAGTTAGCTGAGACCACAACATTGTACTCCAGCCTGGGTAACAAGAGTGAAACTCCATCTCAAAAACAAATAAACGGGCTGGGCACGGTGGCTCACGTGATGGTGGTGCACGCCTGTAGTCCAAGCTACTTGGGAGGCTGAGGTGGGAGAATCCCAACACTTTGAGAGGTCAAGGCAGATGGATCACTTGAGGTCAGAAGTTTGAGACCAGCGCAGCCAACATGGTAAAACCCTGTCTCTACTGAAAATACAAAAATTAGCCAGGCATGGTGGTGTGCACCTGTAATCCCAGCTACTCAGGAGGCTGAGGTGGAGAATCACTTGAACCCCGGAGGCAGAAGTTGCTGTGAGCTGAGATCGCACCACTGTACTCCAGCCTGGGTGACAGAGCGAGACTCTGCCTCAAAAAAACAAACAGACAAAAATACACTGTGTGTGTGTGTGTGTGTGTGTGTGTGTGTGTGTGTGTATTTTTGTCTGTTTGTTTGTGTATATATATAATTTAAGTTTAGTTAACTGAAAATTTACCAGCCTGGGCAACAAAATGAGACCCCCATCTCTACAAAAACTAGGAAAGTTTAGCTGGGTGTGTTGGCACACACCTCTAGTCCCAGCTACTTGGGAGGCTGAGCTGGGAGGATCACTTGAGCCCAAGAGGTCGAAGCTGCAGTGGGCTGTGATTGAACCACTAAATTCCAAGCCAGGTGACACGGAAAGGCCCTGTCTCAAAAAAATTTTTTAAATAAAATAAAATAAATAAAATGTAAAAGCCACATGCGGTTTGTGGCCACCATATCAGCAGCTCAGTAGACCTCACTTCCCCACAGCTCCGAAGCCTGCTGTGACTCTCTTCCTCTAGTCTGGGTTAGGCCTGCTCCTCTGGGCTCTTTCGGCCATCCTCACACTTACCACGAAGCATCGTAATGATTTACATGTATCTCTCCAGTACGTAGCCCGATGTCTGGCACCCAAGGCATACTCGATAAGTATGTCTCGGATAAATAAACGAACCAGCCAACACATGATTCCGGACTTCTGTAGCTTCCTTCTTCTCCTGGCTGCGAGGTGACACTACTACACAGAAAGGGTGGATTGAAAGAATTTGGGGAGGCCGGGCGCGGTGGCTCAAGCCTGTCATCCCAGCACTTTGGGAGGCCGAGGCGGGTGGCTCACGAGGTCAAGAGTTCGAGACCATCCTGGTCAACATGGTGAAACCCCGTCTCTACTAAAAATACAAAAAATTAGCTGGGCGTGGTGGCGTGTGCCTGTAATCCCAGCTACGCAGGAGGCTGAGGCAGGAGAATTGCCTGAACCCGGGAGGCGGAGGTTGCGGTGAGCCAAGATCGCGCCATTGCACTCCAGCCTGGGTAACAAGAGCGAAACTCCGTCTTAAGAAAAAAGAAAAGAACTTGAGGACACACTGCTGGGCTGATCTGGCCTGAGCTTGAGGCCCTTGTGCGCGGCCGTGCTCCCTACTTTGCTGCTTTATAAAGAAAGCAGTTTGCTTTATATGTGACCAGGGTGGGAAGTGAATATTCCTGCCTGGATTCACTCAGCAGGTAGTCGGGGAGAAACTGTCTATGTGATATAAATTCAAGGGCTCTTTTCCCCCAAACTCCTTCCCCAGCCAGGATCCTGATTTCAGCGTTGTCTGAATGACAGTGTCTGCAATCGCGGTGTGTCAGGACTGCGTGTTCTCTAAGGGAGCAGCGAAGACTGTTCCTTTCCCTTCCAGCCTCCAGTTGGCCGTCAGCATTTCTGGGCTTGTGACCCCCTCCTCCAGTCTCTGCCTCTGTGGTCACGTGGCCTTCCCTCCCATGTGTCTCTCCTAAGGACATTTGTCGGATTTAGGGCACAGTAATCATGAATGGTGTCATCTAGGGATCCTTAATTGAATTACATCTGCAAAGATTCTTTCTCCAAATACAGTTACTTTCATAGATTCTGGGGGACAGGGCGTGAACATAGATTTTCGAGGGAGGCCACACTTCAACCCACTACAGTGACTTTTTTTATTTTTGAGACAGGATCTTAGTCTGTTGCCAAGGCTGGAGTATAGCATGGCTCACTGCAGCCTCTAACTCCTGGGCTCAAGCAATCCTCCCGCCTCAGCCTCCTGAATAGCTGGGACTATAGGAGCGTGACACCACACCTGGGCAATTTTTGTAGATGTGGGAGCTGGCTATGTTGCCAGGGCTGGTCTTGAATTCCTGGACTCGAACTCCAGGGCTCAAGTGATCCTCCCACCTCAGCCTCCCAAAATGCTGAGATTACAGGCATGAGCCACTGTGCCTGGCCTTCAATTCCTATTTATTTATTTATTTTTGAGGCAGAGTCTCATTCTGCTGCCCAGGCTGGAGTGCAGTGGTGCGAGCTCCGCTCACTGCACCCTCTACCTCCTGGGTTCAAGTGATTCTCCTGCCTCAGCTCTTGAGTAGCTAGGATTACAGGCATATGCCAGCACACCTGGCTTTTTTTTTTTTTTTTTAATAGAGATAGGGCTTCACTGTGTTAGCCAGGCTGATCTTGACCTCCTGACCTCAGGTGATTCATGTGCCTCAGCCTCCCAAAGCACTGGGATTACAGGTGTAGTTCACTGTGCCTGGCCTACAGTGACTTTTCAACGTTGAGTTCTAGAATTCCTCTCTACTCCACGATTTCAACATGCCTTCTCTGGAAGTGAGGAGGAATTACCGACCAAATTTAATGTTGCCATGATTAATTGTATTTGTTGGTTTGTTTGTTTTTGCCTGAAGGGGCTATAGCCCAGGAGAAGGGTGGGAAGGAAAGGTTAAGGGGAAAAATGAGGATTGCCTCACACAGTGACCCAGGTGTCACGTGGACCAGACACGGGCTCTAATGAGGAAGTTCCCACCATTTCAAAATGACTTTTAAAAATTGCAGGCTAGCCGGGCGTGGTGGCTCAAGCCTGTAATCCCAGCACTTTGGGAGGCTGAGGCGGGTGGATCACGAGGTCAAGAGATCGAGACCATCCGGGTCAACATGGTGAAACCCCGTCTTTACTAAAAATACAAAAAATTAGCTGGGCATGGTGGCACGTGGCTGTAATCCCAGCTACTCAGGAGGCTGAGGCAGGAGAATTGCCTGAACCCAGGAGGCGGAGGTTGCGGTGAGCCGAGATCGTGCCATTGCACTCCAGCCTGGGTAACAAGAGCGAAACTCCATCTCAAAAAAAAAAAAAAAAAAAAAAATTGCAGGCTGCTGCTGCAGCTCCAGGTAAGGTTGAAGCCAAGGAAGAGTTGGAGGCGTTGGACAAGGTTATGGGATTTGGTCTCTGACTTATCATCAGAAAGCAACCAACTTAGCTAGCTTTATTTGCAAAACAAGGAAACAAAGTTTTCTTTAAAAACTCAAAAAAGGGCCGGGCGCGGTGGCTCAAGCCTGTAATCCCAGCACTTTGGGAGGCCGAGGCGGGTGGATCACGAGGTCAAGAGATCGAGATCATCCTGGTCAACATGGTGAAACCCCGTCTCTACTAAAAATACAAAAAATTAGCTGGGCATGGTGGCACGTGCCTGTAATCCCAGCTACTCAGGAGGCTGAGGCAGGAGAATTGCTTGAACCCAGGAGGCGGAGGTTGCGGTGAGCCGAGATCGCGTCATTGCACTCCAGCCTGGGTAACAAGAGCGAACCTCCGTCTCAAAAAAAAAACTTAAAAAAAAAAAAAGTTGCAGTCTGGGCACAGTGGCTCATGCCTGTAACCCCAGCACTCTGGGAGGTAAAGGTGGGCAGATCACTTGAAGTCAGGAATTCAAGACCAGCCTGACCAACATGGTGAAACCCTTTCTCTCCTAAAAACACAAAAATTAGCTGGAGATGGTGGTGCATGCCTGTAGTCCCAGCTACTTGGGAGGCTGAGATGGGAGAATCGCTTGAACTGGGGAGGCAGAGATTGCAGTGAGCCAAGATCATGCCATTGCACTCCAGCCTGGGTGACAGAGTGAGACCTTATCTCGAAAAGAAAAGAAAAGAAAATTGCAAACAATGGTTTCTTCTATATATAAAGTGCAAGGAAATTTAAAAAGGGGGCCGGGTACAGTGGCTCATGCCTGTAATCCCAGCACTTTGGGAGGCCGAGGCAGGCAGATCACGAGGTCAAGAAATTTCATCCTTGCCAACATGGTGAAACCCCGTCTCCACTAAAAATACAAAAATTAACTGGGCACAGTGGTGCATGCCTATAGTCCCAGCTACGTGGGAGCCTGAGGCAGGAGAATCACTTGAACCCGGGAGGTGGAGGTTGCAGTGAGCAGAGATCGCATCACTGCATTCTAGTCTGGGAGACAGAGTGAGACTCGATCTCAAAAAAAAAAAGTTAAAATTCTGGTGTGGTGGCACATGCCTGTAGTCCTAGCTACTCCGGAGGCTAAAGTAGGAGGATCTCTTGATCCCAGGAATTCAGGTCCATTCTGGGCAACATATTAGGACTCTATCTCTAAAAATACCTTTTTGTTTTAGGTGGGGTCTAGTGGCTCACACCTGTAATACCAGCACTTGGGGAGGCTAAGGTGGGAGGATTACTAGAGCCCAAAAATTCAAGACCAGCCTGGGCATTAGTGTGAGACCTTTTCTCTAAAAAAATTATATATATATAAAAATAAAAGTCTACAGTCATACCACCCTGAACGTGCCTGATCGCGTCTGATCTCGGAAGCTAAGCAGGGTCAGGCCTGGTTAGTACTTGGATGGGAGACCTCCTGGGACAACCGGGTACTGTAGGCTTAAAAAAAAAAAAGAAAAAAAGAAAAAAGAAAAAAATAATAATAAAAATAAAATAAAAATTTAAAAAGAATGCCTGTAATAGTTTTTTGTTTGTTTGTTTGTTTGTTTTGAGATGGAGTTTCACTCTGGTTGCCCAGGCTGAAGTGCAGTGGTGCAACCTCAGCTCACTGCATCCTCCACCTCCTTGGTTCAGGGGATTCTCATATCTCAGCCTCCCAAATATCTGGAATTACAGGTGCCTACCACTACACTGGGCTAATTTTTTTTGTATTTTTAGTAGGCATGGGGTTTCATCATGTTGGTCAGGCTGGTCTTAAACTCCTAACCTCAGGTGATCCACCCACTTCAACCTTCCAAAGTGCTGGGATTACAGGTGTGAGCCTCTGCGCCCAGCCACTGTAATAGTATTTTGTTTTTAATTAAAAAAAATTTTTGGCTGAGTGCAGTGGCTCATGCTTGTAATCCCAGGACTTTGGGAGGCCGAGGCAGGCGGATCACCTGAGGTTGGGAGTTGGAGACCAGTCTGACCAACATGGAGAAACCTTGTCTCTACTAAAAATACAAAAAATTACCCAGGCATGGTGGCAGACACCTGTAATCTCAGCTACTCTGGAGGCTGAGGCAGGAGAATTGCTTGAACCTGGGAGGCGGAGGTTGCAGTGAGCCAAGATTGGGCCATTGCACTCCAGCCTGGACAACAAGAGCAAAACTCAGTCTCAAAAAAAAAAAAAATTTTTTTTTAAATTTAAAAAATGTTTTTTAAAAGATGGGGGTTTCACCATGTTGGTCAGGCTGGTCTCGAACTCCTGACCTCAGGTGATCCACCCATCTTGGCCTCCCAAAGTGCTGGGATTACAGGCACGAGCCACCACACCCAGCCTGTAATAGTATTTTTTTTTTTTTTTTTTTTTTTGAGACGGAGTTTCACTCTTGTTACCCAGGCTGGAGTGCAATGGCGCGATCTCAGCTCACTGCAACCTCCACCTCCTGGGTTCAGGCAATTCTCCTGCCTCAGCCTCCTGAGTAGCTAGGATTACAGGCCCGTGCCACCATGCCCAGCTAATTTTTTGTATTTTTAGTAGAGATGGGTTGACCACGATGGTCTCGATCTCTTGACCTTGTGATCCGTCCGCCTCAGCCTCCCAAAGTGCTGGGATTACAGCCTTGAGCCACTGTGCCCGGCCTAATAGTATTTTTTACATGAAATAAAATTGTAAGTAACTGAAATGTTTACCAGTGGGGAACGAGAAAAATAAATTATGGTGACTTTATTTAATAAAATATTTACACTTGTTAAATAAAATACATACTTGTTAAAAAGAATAATAGCATTCACGAGTGGGGATGGTAGGATTGAGTGCGGGAAAAAAAATAATAATAACAGCATTCCCTTGTATAACATTTGCCTTTGGACAGGTCCTGTTCTAAGCACTTCTGCTATGAGATGCAGAATTAAAAGTACTAACCCAGAAAGATGTCCAAGATATGCCGTTCAGCAGAAAAAAACAACTACCACATTGCAATTTATGTAGTATAATCCGATTTTTATAAATTAAAATGTAGAAGGACAAGCCCCAGTTGAAACCTCCCAGATACCAGATTTAAAGAAGAAAGTGGCTATTCAGTGGGGAGCATCGGCAAACTTGTGTCTCAAGAACCTAGCTCCCTGACAAAGAAAATCCTAGCCCTTTTAAAGGCTTACAATTCTAGAAGTACGTGAGTGGGTGGTGAAGGATGGAGTATGTGACCAGGTGGGGGTTTGAGCAAGATTGAGTGAGAACAATGGAGGGCGTTTCCCCATATTATGCCTGAGATCTATAGAGAGGAGTGCAATTAAGGGTGGGGGTTTTCATCTTTAACCTCCAGGCCTGATCAGCAGCGCCAGCCAGCCTTGCCACTGACCTCATGCCTGCTGTGTCTCAACTTTTACTTCTTCCGCCTCTGAGACAAGAGACAGGAAAGAGGGATCTCTTCCCTCAAAAATATGATGTTTGTTTCCTCATACATTGCTGGTAGGAGAGTAAAACGTTCATTTGCTGTGGGAAAGTCTGGCAGTTCCTCAAAAAGTTCAACATAGAAATGCCACATGACTCAGCAGTTCTGCTACTCCTAGATATATGCTCAAGACCGCTCATAGATGGATATTCATAACAGCACCCTTCCTATAGCCAAAAGATGAGGTGCTGGCTTATTTTATGTGTTAACTTGGCTGGGTCATGGTGCCCAGATTTGACTGAATACTATTCTGGATGTTTTCTGTGAGGGGATGTTTTAGATGAGATTAACATTTAAATGTGTGGACTTCAAGTAAAGTACTCCACAGCGTGGCTGTGCCTAACCTGATCAGTCGAAGGCCTTAGGAGAACAAAGACTGAGCTCCCCTGAGCAAGAAAGAATTCTGCCAGCAACGTCAGTTCTTCCCAGGGCATCCAGCCTGCTGGCCTACCCTTCAGATTGGGAACTTGCCAGCCTCCCTGATTGTGTGAATCAGTTCCTCAAAATAAATGTCTTTCTCTATAGAAACAGAAAATTCTATGGTCCTGTTTCTCTGGGATAACCTTGACTAGGACAGGTAGAAATAATACAAATGGTCACCTGTGAATGAATGGATGAACACATTTGTGGTATATAAATACAATGAAAAATATTATTCAGCCATTAAAATGCTGAAGGGATGAAGCACTTTTAATGGCTTAATGAATTCTTTTATAAAAAGGATGCTTCATGTTACAAAGTGTATCAGCTTCATAATCATTATTCTGGCTGGGCATGGTGGTCACCCCTATAATCCTAGCACTTTGGGAGGCTGAGGAGGGCAGATCACCTGAGACCAGGAGTTGCAGACCAGCCTAGCCAACATGGCAAAACCCCATTTCTTTTTTTTTTTTTTTAAAGACGGGGTTTCACCATGTTGTTCAGGCTGGTTTTGAACTCCCGACCTCAGGTGATCCGCCCGCCTTGGCCTCCAAAGTGCTTGGGTTACAGGCGTGAGCCACCATGCCTGGCCGCCGAAACCCCATTTCTACTAAAAGTACCAAAAATTAGCCGGGCATGGTGATGGGCAACTGTAATCCCAGCACTTAGGGAGGCCAAGGCGGGCAGATCACATGAGGTTGGGAGTTCGAGGCCAGCCTGACCAATACGGAGAAATCCCGCCTCTCCTAAAAATACAAAATTAGCCAAGCATACCTGTAAATCCCAGCTACTCGGGCGGCTGAGGCAAAAGAATTGCTTGAACCCGGGAGGTGGAGGTTGTGGTGAGCCGGGTTCACGCCATTGAACTCCAGCCTGGGCAACAAGAGCAAAACTCTGTCTCAAAAAACCCCACATTATTCTAAGTGAAATAAGTCAGACACAAAAGATCACATTTCATTTATATAAAATACCCAGAATAGATAGATCATAAAGATAAGACTCAGGTTAGTGTTTACCAGGGGAGAATGAGGAATGACTGCTTAATGAGTCCAAGGTTTGCTTTTGGGGTGATGGAAATGTTTTAGAAGTAGACAGAGGTGGTGTTTGCACACCATATGGACATACCAAATGCTACTGAATTGTTCACTTTAAATGGTTAATATTATGTTATTGTGCTATTGTGTTAGTTACGTGAATTGCAACTCAATTTTACAAATTATATATATATTATATTTATATATATTACATTTTAAAATCTGGAATATAAGAATTTGTACTCGAGTTAAGCTGCCTGGTTTAAAGCTAATTCTCTCTCTCACTGGGTAGCTGTGAGATCTTAGGCAAGCTATTGCACCTCTTTGTTTCCTCATGTATAAAACAGGAACAACATTACACCATTCTAATACGAAGGAAAAGTGAGTTGATCTATGTAAATTGCTTGTAACAGTGTCCAACACAGAGGAGGTGCTATGTAAGATGTAGCCACTATTACTATTATTATTATCATTATATGACCAAACTGTCACAGCACTCTGGAGAGGAAGAAGCCTTCATTTTTTTCCTGTATATGCTTCTGTATTGTTTGAATATTTTTCAAGAAGCATGTAATAGTCTTATAACAAAAGATGCAATAAAATGCGTTGTAATAAGACTCTCAGAGTGTCTGGGGCACAAAATTAGAGTCAAGCTGATCTTCTGCCAGTGCTTTTAGTCCACTGAAAATTGACATGTGGTGGGTCACCCCCAGCTTCAACCAACGAGATGCTTTTATTCTGATACTTCTGATACTCTGGGTCCCTTATATGAGGAGGTCCTTGGTTTGACTAAGCAAAGACAGATATTACTGCCTGACATAACAAAGTGCTCATCTCACCCTGATAAAATTGTATCATTTTTATTTATTTATTTATTTATATATTTATTTAGAGATGAGGTTTCTCCTTGTTGGCCAGGCTGGTCTTGAACTCCTGACCTCAGGTGATCTGCCCACCTCGGCCTCCCAAAGTGCTGGGATTACAGGCAAGAGCCACTGCGCCCGGTCTTTTTTTTTTTTTTTTTTTTTTTTAAGACAGAGTCTTGCTCTGTCACCCAGGCTGGAGTGCAGTGGTGCAATCTCATCTCATTGCAGCCTCCGCCTCCCGGGTTCAAGTGATTCTCCTGCCTCAGCCTCCTCAGTGGCTGGGATTACAGGTGTGCACCACGAAGCCCAGCTAATTTTTGTATTTTTAGTAGAGAGAGGATTTCACCATGTTGACCAGGATGGTCTCGGTCTCCTGACCTCATGATCCGCCTGCCTAGGACTCCCAAAGCGCTGGGATTACAGGCGTGAGCCACAGAGCCCGGCCTGTATCATCTTTAAAATTAGTCCTCCTCTACATTGAATATTTATGGGCCCCTTGTGACAGAACTGGTTGTGTCTCTTGTCAGTCCTGTGTTGCAAGAGCAAATGACCTTATTAAACGTGTAATTTTTGGAGACGCAGAACAGGTTGGTTTTCATTAACTTCTGCGGTGCCTGCTCCTCCCTCTTCATCTCAGTCTCCTAATCCTTCTCCCTTTGAGCAGGGCTTCTGGGATCAAGAGTGC